TGGGGGGGGGGTGATATAATTGCAGAAATGTCGACTGCCCAAGGCTAGTGGTTTTTTATAGGTCAACTCATTTGACCCCAGGAAAGGATTTGGAGGTTGAAAAGTGACACTTGTTGGGTCAGACCAATAGGAATCGAAGGGGTGGTAAAAGAAACAAAATTAAAACGTAACTTATATACAATATAATACTCATAGAAGTTGGTCGATTGACAGTCCAAGAAATAAGAATAAAGTCAATTGAAAAATAATTACAACTTATGGATAATGACAAGACAAGCAATTTTTATTATTTTTAATCTATTTCTTTTGCATTTCTTCAGCGTCGACTTTTTCCGATTGACGTTGGTCGGTTGACAATCTAAGAAAAAATTAATTGAAAAATAATTACTATTATTATTGTAATATACAAGACTTTTTTCATTTTTCATTTACTAGTATTTCTTTGGAATTTCTTGGCGTGGAATCTGTTGCAGTCTGAAACATCAGAACACAAGTGCAACAATGACAGTGACCTGTTGTTTTGGGTTGACGAACTGAAATTGGCAGGACCGTATCCATTTCGCTGGTGTAACTGAAAATAATGGAGAAAGACAAGCATTTTTTTGTTTTTCTTCTATTTCTTTGGCATTTTTTTGGCGTCAAATCTGAAACTGCAGAGAACAAGTGCGACATTGACAGTGACCTGTTGTTTTGAGTTACGAACGGCGACCTCTGACCCAGCATTCCTCGCGCGGCGGCGAGAGAAAACAAACGACCCATCATCCTGTCAGCCGGGGTCACGCGGGGTCAATCTCGCCGTATATTTAGTCTCGTGAGAATGTGAGAGATTTACAAGTGGCAAGGTCAGGGGCAGTAATTCTCGTGTTGTTGCGCGCTCTGCGGGCGATGGCCGGGCGTAAATTACTCACTGATCTGGCCTTTGGCATGGGAGATTTATTTCTATCGGCTTTTAAGGCTTGTGGCAAGTTCCTGGTAGTTTTTTTAGTCTCTACCAGAATAACAATGCTGGTAAAAAAACACACACAAAAAAAAAACAGTAGAATTTAGATTTAAAAAATGGAAAGAATTACTGAGTGATCTAGCTATTTATTACCTTTGGCATGGGGGACTTGTTTTTATCGGCTTTTAAGATTTTGAGTATAACTGTCAAAACAAGTAAAATTTAACCAAAGTGGGAAGAATATTACTGCCTGATCTGGCTATTTATCACATTTGGCATTGAAGATTTATTCTTATCGGCTTTTAAGGCTTGTGTCAAGTTTTTGGTAGTTTTTTAGTCTCGCCCAGACTAACTGTCAAAACAAGTAATATTTAACCAAAGTTGGAAGAATATTACTGGCTGATCTGGCCATGTATCACCTTTGGCATGGAGGATCGGCTTTTAGGGCTTGTGTCAGGATTTTTGGTAGTCTTTTTTAGTCTCCACTAGACTAACAATGCTGGTTCTACAATAGCAATATTAAGCCAAATACACTGAGAATAATTGGCATGGGGAGTTTGCAATTGGCTACCATAGAGTTCATTTTGGAGAAATATATAATGAAACCCTGAGAATGGTGGACTCACTTCTCCGGCCTGTCAGGCCCTATATAGACCAGGCGATATAGACTTGCTTGGTCCGAAACGGTTTTATCCACAGAGCTTCTAGAATTCCTTGCATAATGGTCTTGAGATTGAGTTTTATATCCAGTTTTATTTCAATCTTTGTGGACCATTCAATGAATGTGTGAGTATAGGAAAAAGGTGATGATTTTAATAGACTGAATATTGGCTTGGAGATCAAAATTAATGTGCTTATTGTGCTTTACACAGTCTTTTCGCTAGATGTCGCTGCTTTCGGGGCGAGTTGAACAACCCACTTTCGTTTTACGAGACTTGTCGAGATCCTCTTGGTTTCTGTTGCACTTAAGTTAAAACACTCTTTCTTGAAGGGATTCCTTACTAACAAAATGTGTCCATTAAATTCTAACACACTCTTACATGTACGTAAAGTCGCAATAAAATGGATCCCCATCCGTACCCCTCTCACCACTCCTGACCTATGACCTCCTGATGACATGTACACGTAATCGAACCCGGGCTTATCACGTTATGGGGTCACACACAAGGTCATACCAAACTTGGGGACGGACCGGGGAAGATCAGAGGAGGATCCTGTAGAACAGTTTCGTATTAAATTTGAAGCTGGCAAAAGCGCATATTCATTATTTATGGCATATCATACCGATGACAACAATCCTACATAATGCTTGACAACAATCAATATAAACAGTGTGTTTATTGATTTGAGAATTGTTGTACATGTATTAGCAAAACTATTTAAGGTAATGTCAAATAATAACTTGGACTATCATATAACAATGGCAACAAAACAGTGCTGTATGAGATCTAGCACATTTTTTCTGGTCATTTTCAAAGTTCCTTTAGTCAATGTCATATTTCTTCCACCCGTTGTTAACATTTCAGACTTTGAGGAAACTGTTGCCATAATAGAACAAGATCAGTTCGCCTGTACTCTTCATCAGATAGCACTACAGCAATTCATCATGCGTAACCCTATGATTGTGGACAGTCCCTAGAATTTAGTGTATAAAGTTTCACTCAGACGAGACTGCTAGCTAACACGTGAACCTCACGTGCACACTGAGTTTCTCTACCATCACAATACCGCATATTGTACTCGTTTGGAGCAAGAAGACAACTTACCGAGGAGCTTAGTAGATCTTCCTCAAACCGGTAAGGCAATTTTAACTCATAATATCACTGCACTGGAATTGTCATGATGATCCATAATGGTTGGTTTAACGTTTAACTTAGACACTTTAGAAAGATGGTGCCCTCCCTACGAAACTTGTGTAGAACTATCTCAATGCTTTTTGATATGTGATTTTGTCGTTTCAACGTGTCGTATAATTAATGACTGGGAACTTAGTTGAAAACATTTTTCAAATATGTTTTGACTGTAATTTATCATAGTCAAGTCTAAGGTTTCAAGGCCCATCAGGCTTCCGATGTTCCATATCAGACTGTTCTACAGTTAATCAAGAACAGGTTGGAATGTGTGGAACGTTGTTTTACTGATATGTAAGACTCCCAATGTATGTATACCATGTATTGTGCTTCTTCACTTGACCAATTAGTTCGTTTAGTACCTTCGCCAAGAAGGTTATGTTTTCAGAGGCGTTCGTCTGTGTGTCTGTCTGTCTGTCTGTGTGCCCGTCTGTAAACACGATAACTTGAGAAGGCCTTAATGGATTGACTTCATATTTGGTAGGAGGGTAGGTCTTGATGAGACCTCGAATGATTAGATTTTGAGCCCCCTAGTGGCTTCTTATGGTACTGCAGCTGAACTTCCGGTTTTGATATCTCGTGATATGGACATGCTAGGGCACATCTTCTGCTCTATAAAAACAAACATACTATGAGAGTATTAGACTAATCTACCTTGCAAAGACTATATAGACGAATCGTATGCCAAATCGTCTGATGCTTTTTACCCTGTCTGTGTGTCATTGTCATGTCTCCGAATGTCGTGCTAGTTTTACAGCCACAGACAGCACCCTGGGTGGATATGAACTGTCTGTCACCCCGTCTCAGCTCTAGTGGAATTTGTCACAGTCCATATCGTGATGGAAAATTACCGGCAGTTGCTCGGATGTTTCGTCGGATTATGTAATTATAAGGCCTTATAAGCTTGACATTGTGTTGTGTGGTGATAACAGACTCGGAATGAGGAGGGAT